ATCTCTACTAAGATTCATAAAAGGTCATATAATCATATACATTTCTCATGAACTAAAATGGTGCAGAACGCTAATCAAAATCTACCTATTTCATTAAAACAATCATAAAAACAATAGATCTGTAAATTTCTATTGGTTTTGAGGTGATTGAATTAAGTTTTGACCGGGGGCCGATTTGTGGTCTTATTCGCCCCCGTCCTTTAATGTTAGTTCCTTGGGTCAATTTCTCACACTTTGGAATTGTAATTGGCACAAGGAAGTTGACAACGTAAAAATTGATGTTCAAAGACCTCATAAACTGCCTGATTGTTGTGCTTTAGTTGGAAGATCAGTACCTGGTGAATTTACAAATGAATTCTTCGTTCAAGAAATCACCAAATCAATTAAATCTTCAGTTGCATTCTCCAAAATTAACTACCATTATACTCGAACATCAAAGGACTTTCGATTTTGCGTGACCAATATAAATGAATATAATGAGATGTTAAAATAAGTCGATCAGCCATTAGACATCTTATGCTTCAAGTCACCGCATTCGTTCCAGGTTTTAACATGGCTTATTGTAACAAGTGTTGGAAATTTAGTCATCTATGAGTTGAATGTAGGATTGATCCATGTTGTAAGAAATGCTTAGATATATGGAATTGTAATCATAAATGTCAAGAACAAACGTTGTGTGCGAAATTCCAAGGTTCTCATCCATCTCTCAGTATAGAATGTCCTGTAGTCAACAAATATCGACAAATATTAAAAGAAGAAGTTAAACATGCAATTAATAAAAGCTTAATAAACCAAGGGGATGTCAAGATGAAGGCTGAAACAACAACCATAGAAACAACAGAATGTGCTGCTCAATCACAAAATACTGGAATATTGTCAGCATGGAAAAGTCAAAGTAATCCATCTTATTCTATGCCAAGACATCGTGAGCAACAACACCTAGGTGAGCTAGGCGATCGTTTAAATGATGTTTTAGATATTACATGTCAATCTAAATGTAAAATTGACCAGCAAGTTACACGAGCAGATCAATTAAAAATTAAAGTTGATATTATTAAACAAGGTTTAACAGATTTAACAAAAATAATGAAATCGGCAATTATGGCGTTGTTAGACAAGAAAAATAAATAACAAGTAAATATATTATCTCGGCGATTGAATGAATTCATTAATCAATGGACGAAAAATATCGACATGACCTCCAGTTCTTCAGTTCACACAACAATCTCATCTTGTAAATCAACGTGTGATCGAAAAAATACTGATCCTGCATTAACTAATTTCAACAGAAATAATGAATTAGCTGGTCAAAATCATTCAATGATAATTACAAATGACCATTATACATGTTTCATCTACATTGAACATTAATAACACTCCATTTCATTGATATCCATCCGGCTCCTGTTCCATATGCTCGCTTGATGCAAAAGATGCTACCATTTAAAAAGTTATAGAATGAAATTTTTCACCGAAAATAGTATATCATGTTAGTTTAATTCTAACGGGATGGTATTCGGATAATACATTAAACACAATTCTAAGTTTAAGAGAAAAAAATTGCACTATCATTATGCTAACAAGGGTGTGGGTGTGGGTATAGAAGTAGATGAAAACTTAAACCCACACCCACACCCTGGTCTCCACAAGCTCTTCCGGCTCAGAATTTCGCTCTACAGAACCCTGCCGATCATAGCACTGCAGTGAAACTTCACAGCAGTCTCCGAGACGAAAGAAAGCAGAAGATCAATGATATTTTTCATGTATTCACAGTTCATTAGGCCCTACAGGGTGTGTTATGTATCGGCTGATTTCAAGATGTCAAGTATAATGTGCCTGTGGTCCCTCACGAAATTTTTTTTTACATATTTTAGTATTTTTAATTTTTGACAGTCTTGCACAAATATTTTTCACTTTTTTAGTATCATCAATAGATAGAGCGTGAGAAACTACCCTACTGGTAAAACGTTGATGTTGCAGCTAAACTTCTTTCAAGAGAGAGTAGAGAGATAAATAATTATTTACAGAAAAAATGGTCATTTTTCACTGTGGAATCACAGCTTTTCATTTGAAAGTGACTTTTTTCGCTGTAAAAAGTTTAGATTCATATAGAGCACAAAATTTTGAACTATCAAATGTATTTTTCACTAAAATTTGAAGAAGGATTTTTGTACAAGGAGCTCAACGTGGCAAAATAGGGCTTGTATTGTGTCTCGACTATATAGAGAACAAAGGAGTTTCGAAAGATGCTACAATGATATTCGTTATCAGCACACTTCAATGAATAGGAATATCTCGCTTCGATTGACGAAAAAATGTGAAATTAGTTTTTGATGGTACCTAAGGGGATCTCAGGGGTAAAAATTAACAATATCATCTTTTTCCCAAATAAACTTTGAATAAACACTCAGAAGTCAATTCATATTCAAAACTAATAGAAATAAATTAGATCCGAAACTGTTTAAAAAAGTTCGCGTTATCCGCCCTTCCTTCTTTCTCACTAAACATAGATCTGGCCGAAATACATCTTTTGACATTAAATTGTCAAGACGAAAAAACTTGGGAGTCAAGTTAGTATGGACCACACTGTGCTCTATCCTACCTAGTTATCGAGGGTTCTACCCCACAAAGGCATACAATTTTTACAGAAACCACGAAAATGGACTTCAGATTCGTGTTCAGCTTGAAAAAACTGACTTTGATGGGATTTTTTTAAATTGATCCCTTACTTGTGCTAAGTGTGCTGGAGATCATAGGTGCACTTTAAGGATATATGATAAGTATATACAATAGTCTTTAGATAATAATTCACTAATAATAATAGCTATCGAATTCGAATAACTGCTGTTCGATAGCCCTCTTCGAAAGCTACAAAGCTATATATTTTCTAAGCTTAAAAATCTTGATCACTTGAGCCGTACTGAGACATGTTGATCTTGGAGCATGATTTTATGCATTTTGCCCCCTAGTTGGCTCTTTTGCATTACAAAACGAGGCTTTCATTCAAAACCAATATCTTATTCAGAATCAGCATTAAAAATTGAGCCTAACCATATATGTTTCAAAAGATTCTGAGAAAAAAAAGTTCCTATCAAAGAATGATCCAATAATGTTCCCGCCAGGGTTCATGAAAAAATGATTATACTCAAAAGTGCCCTTTATCGTGTGGAATAAAATATTTGAGTTTCTCTTACTTAGAAAAAAAAGGAAAATCATAAAAGACTAAACAACAAAAGCGTGATTTTTAAGTACAATCATTTTTTCATAAACCCTGACGGGAACATTACTGGATCATTTTTTTATAGGAACCTTTTTTTCTGAGAATCTTTTGCAACGTATATAGTGAGGCTCAGTTTTCAACGATGATTCTAAATAAGATATTGGTTTTGAATGAAAGCCTCGTTTTGTAATGCAAAAGAGCCAACTAGAGAGCAAAAATGCATAAACTCGTGCTCCAAGATCAACATGTCTCGGTACAGCTCAAGTGATCAAGATTTTTAAGCTTGGAAAATATATAGTTTTGTAGCTTTCGAAAAGGCCTATCGAATAGTAGCTACCCAGATTTTATATCTATTATTATTGGTTAATTATTATCTAAAAACCGTTGTATATGCCTATCATCAAGGGGGAAACACAGGACTTCAAGACTTCAAAAGACTTGACCCATAGTGACTTCATGTTTTCACAAGACTTCAAATGATTATAAAAGACTTTATGAAACGTCATGAGACCTCATCAGACTTCAAGAGACTTTAAAAGACTTCACAGACTTTACAAGACTTCGTCAGACTTCACAAAACTTCAGATGACTTCATAAGATTTCAAGAGTCAGATTCCATGTGTATAAAAAACCTTATAGAAATTACATAAAATTTCTATAGCATGGAAATAGAAAAACTTGTCATATAGAAATTACAAGTGTTTCTTGTTTCTGAGAATTGCTTCTTGCAGTATATGTAGGTCTAGAATAAAGATGTCGCAATAAAAAAAAACGTTGATGAAATTAAAACTGAGAAAATAAACTTTACTAGCATGCGCATATTTGATTCAATTAATCCAACATTGAAAAACTCGTATTTTCAGATGCAAATAAATAACAAGACTAAATTTATACACAGCAAACGGCCTGCTGATTGTTGACCGACAAAGCTGCCCGTTTATTGGCAGATTAATTTCGCAAGGGATAGAAAAAAGCAAAGGGGAATAAAATTCTTCCAGAGTTGTTAGATTAAAATCTTAAAAATCAGAATTGACTCGCCCGAATTCCGAAAATTTCGGAAAAACATCAGAAAGTAGTAGTTGTTAAGCTTTTCGACGGTTAAGTTGATTCTTTTTGTTGAAAAAGACTTTCTGAGTTTGTTTATCCTCTCTGTAGATATATTTCATCAATTTTAAAACAAATATATTAAATATATCCCTATGAGAACACGTCATTTTTCAAGAAGAGATAGTTAATTCACCAAAAAAACTCAAAATGAACTATCTATACTTGTATACATAGCTACAATTCAAAACATTTATCGAAAGAGAAACTGAAATTCATTTATCTAGACGTTTTTTCGAAAAAAAGTTTTCATTTGAAGCGATTTTTGTTCGATAGCTCCTCTTGAGTTAAAAGAAAGATATGAACATGTGCACAACGAATATTGAAATTCTTTCTCATTTGTAACTGACATTTGATCAACTCGATATTCATTCAATTTCGATAATCAAACCATAAGTGACTCATGTGACTTAGTAGTAATCCAACAAAAGAATTGCTACATGGAATAGAAAATACATAGTCAAGAATGAGTTTCAAACTCGATGCTCTATTTAGTTTAATATTTAAAAAGTATGAACGTAGCTAATCAGGTTGAACACCAGAGATGCAGAATCTTTCTCACGCGTTCCCTGGCGGGAAGGAAAATTTTTTTGAAAAGCTCACACAAAAGGAAAATGTTTGAAAAATCCGCTGGCCAAAACAAAATAGAGTGGGGAAATTTTCCAAAAAACCTTTCTGCTTGAGGGAAATTTACAGATTTTTGGAATATTTTGCACCTCTGTGAAACACATTCATTTGCTTTTGCACCATTATTCAACAATTTTCCTAAAATGTTATCCTTAAAAAGTAGAATAATATCCTCATTTTCATTTAGGTTACGCTTTCTATGAATACTATTCGTTTTTATAACCAATTCGAGAATCAAGCATTCATTGAAGCTATTTTGACAAACCTTTGATGAGATTTGAAAAAAGGCTTACCATATTGAATCTTTCCTTCTTTATCATCTTTTCTGTAAGAATCAAATCAATTACCTGATGATGACAGGAAGGTAAAGATAGCGCAATATGAAATCTATCAAAAGTTCTATCGAAAATAGGAATGCAAACAGAAAGTTTTAAAAAATTGTGCGATTCGGAAAAATTCGGAAACATCTCAAGAATTCGGATAGATTCCGAGAGT